GGACTCTCCACAGCCCATGCGCATAACCATTGTGTTGGGAGTCCCCAGACAGACACAGCTTCCTAAGCTACTGAACCAAACCCCTGTCTTTTGAAGGCTCCTCCAGCTTCCACATTAACTTATTTTTTTCACGCTAAATGCAGAAACCTTGAGCAATGAGGAAAAGAAAATACAAAAGTGTCCACTGTCTCACCTCCCCAAGGGAACCATTGTTTACATGTATGTAATTTACACCCCCGAAACTACACGCCCACTCATATTTTACTCGAAGGCAATGTGTTTTAGCATGCATCATGATTCCCAGATTTCTTAGTAAAGTTTCAAAAACAACACGTAGGATTACCATACCAACTGTTTATTTTGCCAACTAAGGCCACTGAAATGGCAGCAAAACAACAAACAAAACCTACCGTCCAAAAATCACCATCATTGTGTGAAAGAAAGAAAGCTTAACCGCACAAAAGCAAGATTATAATCTCAGAATAAAGAACAGGGCTGTAAGTCAAGTACATTTAACTTGGTGAAAAACTCAATGCATTGCCGGTATTTTTCTCACGGTGCCATGGACCAGAGGAAACTTCACTGTAGACCAACAGCAGTCTGTGGTCTAGTCCAAGGCTTCTCTAACTCGAGTGTGGTCAGAGCATTTGGGCCTCTCGTCCAGGTGGAGATCTTGATTTAACAGGGCCAGAGAGGGGCCTGGGAGATTGGGCATAAAGCTCCCAGTGCCGCTGCTGGTCTGTGGATCATCCTTCGGTCCACAGATTGCCAGGTTCTAGACAGTGGGATGTCTTTTCTAGTCTGATTATTTTTCTTTCGGAAATCTATTGTGAACATTTTTGCATATTAAGAAACACTGGTCTACAGGATGACTTTTAACGGCTGCATTTATACTCAGTCCTATGAATGTGTCTTGATTTAGTGACCCAATCTCCTATAGTTGATTATCTAGGTGGTTTTTTGTTTGGTTTTATAAAGCAAAAACCATTTTTTTGTGATATATTATTCATTCATGTTATTTTTTTATTTCAAAATAATAAGGGGGCACAAATGCTTTTGTTACATGGATACCTTTTATAATGGTTAAGTCCAGGCTTTTAGTGTGCGCGTCACCTGCATAGTGTTCATTGTACCCAATAGGTGGGGTTTCCCCCCTCCCTTCCTCCCCCTTCTTGATTTCCAATGACCTCTGCACCTCTTTGTGCCCGTGTGTGCCCATCAATGAGCTGTTTTCTCCTTTCGTCTCTTTCTTTCTCCCCCTTTCTCCTATTATAGGGCTGTAATGAATATTCTTGTACCTACATATTTGTGCACTTGTCTGATTAGTTCTTTAGGAAATAAAATATTCTGGAAATAGAACTGCTGGTTCAAAGGAACAGCATATCTGATAAGTACATTTTAAGGGTGTTTAACATGTTTTCCTGTCGTGCTAACCAAGCCCTGAAGTTGGAAATTGTTCTCCAAGTCTCAGGGAGCCTGGGGGAGCTCAGAGCTTCCTGGTAGTCCATGACAATCACAGGACAGTGGGGGACCTGCTAGAACGGAAGTGCAGGGCGCTGGGCAACCAGAGAGAGGCACCTCGCCCTGACTTGGGTGTCCAGAAAGGCTTCCGGGAGGACGTGACACCTAGACTGAGACCTCTCGAGTCTACCTGCTCGCACTTGTGCTCAAAAGTGCATGCTCAATGCGTGCATGAAGAGGAATTCTTGATTGACTTCATGGTTAAATGATTCTTGCATGATTACACAGCATCACCTTAAATACAAAACATAATACGAGCCCCTCAAAATAAACTGAAGCAAAGTAGAGAATTTCTAATAATTCATTAGGCCTGTTTGTATCTACAAGTCTTAAGTTGGCTTAGGAGAAAGTTGAGGAAATGCTAGTATCTGTGGCAATGACTGGACTCAGGTTATATGACCTCACTATCGAGTTAGTTCATACCTCTTCTTCCCTGAAGTAAGCATTTTTCCACTTTACTCCTCATACTAACCTGTAGAAGACTGGGGAGAAGAATGGAATATTCTTTATTTTTATTTTTATATTTTTAGAGATGGGAGTCTCACTGTGTTCCCCCAGGCTGGCCTCAAACTCCTGAGCTCAAGCGATCCTCCTGCCTCAGCCTCCCCAGTAGCTGGGATTACAGGGGTGATCCACAGTGCCCAGCTAAGGTAGAATATTCTAATGTGCATGGTCTCAACTCTCTCTCTCGTGGCCCAGCTACTATAGCTGAAGGAAGTTTTCTCAAATGCCGTGGCCTGACCCCTGCAGGCTGGCGTAGGGGCTCCTTAGCCAGAATTCTGCCAGGGTACAACAGATCCTCGCTCCCTCTGGGATGTAACCCCGCCAAAGGCAGCAGAATGACCCACAAAGACCTGTTCATGTTCCCTCCAACCGAGGATTCAAGGGCTGTCACTGGATGCTCTGTAAGTATAGCTAAAGGGTTTCCAGTGAACAGTTAGTTAGGAGTAGAAGGGAAATGATGGGATCCAGAGTACCAGGAATTTCAATATGCCCTGGTCTTTGATAAAAATGATGGCAGAACATTCAGTAGCACCAAAATTATTATGTTTCCATTATATTAAAGGGGGACAATTCTTTTATTATTACCTATTACAAATATTTTACTATTTATTATTGCCCTGTCCTAATTATAAACACTTTTATGACACAACAGTGGATTGTTCAGATAAACAGAGCATGTTAGTTTGTAATGTGATAAAGAGGGAATATTGATGGTTTTTCAGGGGGATGACAAACATATGACACAAATGTTGCAACATATCCTAACCTGCTGCCCTCCCACACTGGCCCTCCCTTGCTGGTCTGATGCCTTGGCCGACATACCTAATCGGTCACTACACTCTTCCTGAATCTATCCCAGTTCCCAGGGCCTGGCTGAGGCTCACGGCTGTTTGGTTGTACCAGTCCAGGAGGCATCAGCTATATGGAAATGTACCCCTGGAGTCCTAAAATGTAGTAGCCCTGCCACCACTGCACTTGGGACATAGTAGACACAAAATAAAAATTTGTTGAATGAACCAGATATAACCTCTGAATCCTTCTCAACATAACATTTCAAAAAGCCACTACAAATTGATTGGATTTGGCATGCAAAATGAACCTATTTGCTATTCCTGCTTTAAGGAAACACAGTAAGAGGCTGCCAACACGGAACATATTTAATCATCTTTGCACAAGTGTGTGTTGGGTACATGCATAATGTGTATGCAAATACGGTTTGCTTAGAACATGCAATTCTCTCCCCTCCCTCCCTCCTACTCCATCCCTAAATATACAATTTCATAAAAACCACACCTGTGACTGCTTATTGGAACGGGAAGGGGTCCAACTTACGTTCTCAAATTTATAACACTTGCCTGTGGATTTCCAAACCGTGGTTCCTGTAATAAACTACAGTGCCTGGCAGAAAGGTGCAAAATATTTATATCTGGGCCCAACGAAGTTTTCCTTGGCTTCCCAACCTGGGTTGATTATGCCCATATTTGTGGACTTTGCTCTTTTCCTTCTCCCTTCCACTCTGGCTTCTTACCTGGCCCTCCCCACCACTCCCATCTCATTAGGGTGACAGAAGAATCAGACACTATCTGTACCAAGAGGACATGGGCAAATTCCATAACTTGTTAACATTTCCAATAAAAATCAATTGAAAAAGTAACACCGGAAAAGAAAGGCAGAATTTGCACATTTGATTTTCATTTCCTGGGCTCTGTCAGAGCTGCTGAGCACCACGACAGGAGGGGACATGCACCATCTTACTGGCCATGAAGCCTTTGGAAAGGATGCTGAAATCCTGCCATAAGGACGATCTCAAAATGCACATGCTCTCAATTCCGTTCCCCATTTACCTTTTTTAAAAAAATAGCATTAATTTAGAAGACTTCTGCTCCCCATCAATCGAGTGGGAAACTGTCTTGCTTTCACATTTGTCCTTTCCCTTTACACCCCTCAGAAACCACTGGGCTTATTGGAAAAGGCCGTAAAATGATTTCATTCCGTAATTTCCAGAGGCTTATACTAAATTTACAGTTTTGACAATGCAATTGTCTGTCCCTGAGCCTGTGGCCTCTTTCACTAAAGAGTACAAGGAGAATTCTTATCTTGACTGGAAAAGTAAATAATAGCAGGCAATAGTAGAGAGGAAGGGAAATATTTGGGATAGATAAACGATGGTTGGATTCAATTAGGACCATGGTATTGGGTTATTAGAAGAGCATGAACTGGATAACATTTGGCCCTGAATCTTATGGTGAGGTTAAGACTACCCTATGGGAAAAGCAAAATACTCTTCACTTATTCTAGTTTTGGAAAATGTCATAGGAAACACATTTAGAGTCCATTAAACATGATTGGAGTTGACAAGATGTTTTTCTGGTGAAAGCAAGGACTAGAACTTTCCATCAGCTCAGACAACCTCAGGTAGTGGTTGCTAATACCAGTTAAATGAATCTAAATGGAGACAAAACTAATGACCCCCTTGGGAGCAAAAATAGCTTCTTAATGAAAGACATGGAGTTAAGAAGTTATAATAGAATATTGGCTGATGTGCCCTTTGAAAATTATAAATTTGTAAAATCCTCTTATGTTGTGATTCCTCGGAGTCAATATTACCAGATCTGCCTCGGGACAGGTGGTGGGAAGCCAGGTGCGTGTTGGAATAGCTGAAACCTTGCTCGTGTCCTGAAGGAAGGCTGTCTGCAAGAAGCCAGCGCTGGAGGCTGCCCGGGGCTGAGTACACTTCGGGTTGGTTTTCTCACAGCTTTTGTTCATGCCTGTTCCATGTTGGCTTTCTTTCTCTCCAGTTTTCAGACATCAGGCTCTTGGGAGCAGTAATCCTCCAGCCAGGCTCTCTGGAAAGGTTCAATCCAAGTAAAACAGGAATTTTCTGAGCCAATTTGATAGACAATTGGTCTGAGCAGAGCTCTTGCTTTACCGATAGAGAGAAATGAGGCCGAGAGAATTACGATACCCAGGGCATGATTAAAAATGTGACACAGGGACTAAGAGGCCGGTGACGTCACATACACAGGGGGCTAGGGAGGCGTGAGGATGGGAAACTGCCTGCGAGGGTGTTGACAGGCAGTAGATCGTGGCTCTGTCATTGTGACCTCACCACCAAGCATTTAAAGATTTAGGAGTCACAGCAAAGTGGCACACAGAGTCCCTAAGAATTCGGCCCTTCTCTCTGTCATCTCTTCTGGACTCAAACACCTAGAGCACATGGTAGCGGGCCCTCGATACTAGGCACTGCTGAGTGTTGGAAAGAGCACAGGTTGTAGTTGAACATGGTCCCATAAGCTGAGAAACCCTGGGTCTGTTCCTTAATTTTGTAAGAATTCACTTTTTCTCTTCTCTAAAGTGGAATGATCCCACCTGCCTAATAGGGCTATTTTGAGAAATACATGATACCAAGTAGGTAAAATGCCTATCACCATCTCTCCATACATGTTCATTATTTTCATGATTAAAAATTAAGTAAGTGGTTGATGATCATAAAAATCCATCTGTACTATGTGCTAGACACTGTCCTAAGTGGTTAGAGGTACATACTATCATTATCTTTATTTAGTAGATGGGAAATGGAGTTTTTAGAGATGAAAAGTCATCGACAGGGAACAGAATACGGGATCTGCTGCTGAGAAGAGGCCCTAGATATTCTGTGGCTGCCAGAGGTGAGTGAGCCCAAGGAGAGGACGCGACGGCTGGGATTTCTCTTTGACGGGATCCAGGCCCTCCTTTCTTCTGGGCCAGTCAGCCTTCACAGACCTCAGGACTGTGCGGAGCGAGAATCCAATGATGTGCCTGAAGCGGGTGCTAACCAAAAATTTATGGAAGATTTTATTGCTATTTCCAACTGAGAACTTTTCTTCAATCATTTATGGAAAACATAAAAGCCAGTGGGAATCAAATAGGATAAAACAAGGTCAGAACCACTCTTCCAGATGCTGAGCACAGCTGGTTTTTGCTTAAGCAGCGGGAGCGAGAAAGGAGGGTATTCGTTGGCTATTTGGGTCAGAAACAGCACCTTAAAATATCTCCTGCATAATTCATCATGTCCCAAATAGAATGTGAGGTCAAATTGCAGACCCTAAACCTTTTCATCCCTCCTCCCCTCCCCTTCCTCCCCCTCTTTTCTTTCTTCCCTTTTCTTCTTCTTTTTATTTCATGGGATTGGTATGAAAAATAGTAAGGATTCTATTCTATGTTCCATAAAGGAAAAATAAATCTCTCTCTGGGGTGGCAGATATCACAATTCCAGAAACAAACTGGAATGCACCAGGGCTTCCTTCTATGCCAAAATGCAGACTGCTCTTTGCTTGGACTCCTTGTCATCCAGCCAGTGGCAGCTTCGCCCTGGAAACAAAGAGGAGAGTGGGGACAATCCTAATTTTAATATTCATAACTCATGAGCAGCCTGAACGTTTTTAAAAATAAGTTAATGGCTGTCCTTTGAACTTACATTGCCCCTTTCACTCCAGGGGCTTCGAAGGGGCTTGGGGAGAGCCAGCTCGTCAGATCACCCTTTCTGCTTCCTGACCTGCAGATAGCACCCTCCCTGGGAACTCGGCAGAGAGGAGGCATCTGTCTTGCCAGCAGCAGAACTTTTTCCTAGGCTGTCTGCAATGCACGCGGAACTGCAGAAAGAGCCGCTGGTGGGGTCGATATCACATTGGGACAGTGACATGTTTCGTGTTCTCATATGCTGGTCCTAACACAAACCCGCTGGTCCTAACACAAACCCACCGATCCTTTCAGGGCTTACCTAGAAAAGCCCAAAGAGAGAGACTGATGCCCACCGAAGGCCACCCTGAAGCATGTGCGGGTGGCAGTGTGTGCGGGACCGGGTGGCAGACATTGTCTCCCCGACAGGAAGCCGCGTTGGCTGACCCCAGGGTCCTTGCCTCCTGAAAGCAGAGGAAAAAGCCTATGGGGCTAGAAGAGATTCCAGTGGGACAGAAGAATGATTATTTAAAGGACACAAGCATTTGCTTTTAAAGTGGGGGAGACGGAAAGGGTGGAATTTAAAATGCTCTTGAGTCCACTCCTGGGAAAAGTGTAGGGAGTGACGCTGAGCACACAAGAAGGCTTGCAGGGGAGGAGGGACAAAGACTGTTAGAGTCTTCCCATGTTCTTTTTGGGAATGGTAATGAGCTATCGAAAAAAACATGCCAGAGCAGAAAAAGCAAGGGGAGAATTCTGAGCTAGAAGGGCAAACAGGCCCTTTGCCCAGTACCCGTCAGCTCCTGTCGCCATCCGGGGAGGCAGGAAGGTGACAATGAAGTGAATTTCCCCAGGACCTTTGGAGGCTCCCTTGCAGTGGGTCTGGAGTGGGGTTTGGGAACCTTCATGTGCAGGATAGCTCAGGAAATGAGGGTGCAGACTCAAGAATCCCCAGGAAAATTCCTAGTAGGTGCCCAGAACGAGTGGAGGGAGATGAAGAAAGAGCCGCTGCCCAGATGGGAGGTTCCTGTCTTGCAAGACCAGGTTGCAGCTGAAGAGTCCCAGGGTGACCCAGGACAGCACGGAATGCCTGGGAGGCTGGGGAGTGGAATGCATGAGAAAGCGGCTCTGGTACTCCTTGCTCCTCCAGGGTGCAGATCATTTAATGGTCTGCAAATGATTTAACATCCGACCCCCCCAGTCAGGCTTCCCAGGGTAAATTGTCTCCATTCCCACCACAGAGGAGCTGTGCTGTCCAACTGCTAACAGGCAGGGAGCCACTGTACGGGGGTGCTTTGGCCAGCATGTTGCTGGAAGTGACACTATAGCAATTACTGCTTAAGAACCGACTGTAATTATTAATTATGATTCTAACAACAATTGAGGTCATGCATAATTCTTTTCTGTGGGCTGCTTTTTGCCTGCAGAGCCCATTTCTCAAACATCTCATTAGTCTTATAATAGTGTTTTTTCCATTTATTTTTTTTTCCAAAGTCAGTTGTTAATATATAAAAAGAAGGACTATAGTGAGAAATACATTTATTTTTAGCCAAGAGGTGGCAATTCTCAAGTTGTCCTTCTTGAGGCAGGGCTTATGTTCCTTTCTATACCTAAATATTCAGATCTATCACTCTACTGGATTGATATTTGCTTTATTCAAGAATAAGTAACTAAATAAATGCACACATTTAGAACTTTACAACATCATACGCTTAAGTGTTAGAATAAGGTATAAGTTAACACTGAATTTCTTGATTTTCACCATGGCTAGAGTTCAGAAATACTATCACAGTGAAAAAAAAACAAAACAAAACAAAACTCCAACATTTCACCTCCGTGATCCGATACATTGTGCTTTTATTCAACAGTTTAATCTTTACACACAAACAAAACCACCTGAATGGAAGCTGGTTTCTCAAAAACGAAAATAATTTATTATTTATTATAATAAATGCCTTTAAAACATTCCTGCTCATCATATTGGGTCTTTTCCTGATAACTCATTTAGCCTTCCCTAACGCAGAGCACGGGGCTTTAAGTCATGCTGCCGCTCCCAACCGCTGTGCCAAAATCGCTTCTGGAAGCACAGAGCCCTCCATGGCGGCTGCAGATTTAGCTCTGGGCTGGGGAGAATGTGGGGAGAAGTCATTTGCATTAAAAAACACTAGCTGTCTATTCCCATTAGAAAAAACACTTGGTGTTTTAGTGCAAATTATTTTAAAAGGGCAGATAACTTATGGATGCAGAAAAGGTAATCCACAAAGATGTATGCAATTTTGTTCGGTTGATGTCCTCAGGGCGAAAACATCAAGGATAACAAGTCTACTAAATACAAACAGACACAATCATAAAATATGACACCCATGATTAAAATACCCTTTTCAAGGGTCCTCTGCACTTAGGAGAGAAGCTGCCTTGTTAATATCAAGACCCATCATTTCCTATGAGTCAGAGGCAGGTTGAAACAATGATCTCTTCTTTCTGGACTGTATTCTTAAAAGGTTGTGAAATTCTGGGGCTTTAATCAGACTAGCCTGGAATCACAGCGCTGGGGCAGAGAGGGGATTAGCTTTAAGGGTTAGGAGCTCAGGCACTGGAGCTGGACAGATCTGACTTTGAATCCCAGCTCTGACATGTACACACTGTTTTCTCTGAAGTCGAGGGGTCTTCATCTGCAAATGGGAAATTGAGGTTGTCAAGAGGATTAAACACAACAAAACAAAACCGAGAATCCAGATGTAAAGTGCTTAGTGTAGTGTCTGGCATAGAAAAAAAGAGAGAAAGTGTGTGAGTTTCCCTCTCTCTCTAGTGCCCAATTACAGAAGAGATTGGAGAATAAAAAATGCACTATTCACTAGTATATAAAGAAAAGAGATTTTTATGGTTTAAGAAAAACTGCACCAAGACATTGGTAATTTTAAGTAGTGAGAGGAAAATGGAATCTCATAACTAAGTTTGTGAATGGTACTGCTACAATAATTATTCATAACCAAGGCTTAGATATATCACTTTCATTTATCTGAGAGGAACAGTTAACAGCTCTTGAGCATTTATTTGGCACCAAGAGCCCTTTAAGTGCTTTATATGTGTTGTTGCCTTTAATGTTCACAACATCTTCATGAGTAGTTACTAATACTATCCCCATTCCACAGGTCAAGAAACATAGAAACAGAGAAGTTAAGTAACTTGTCCAGAGTCACACAGCTGGTAAGAAGCACGCTCAGAATTTAAATTTAGGCACTTGTTCCATACTCTAGCCTCTTAACCACTATGCTGTGTATTTTGTATGTTTATTTTTAAATCTCTCACAGCATCCTGTATAGTTCTTGCACCTAGTAGACGTTGAATATTCATTCAGTGATTATTTAAAGGACGCAAGCATTTGCTTTTAAAGTGGAGGAGAAGAAAGGGTTAATTCTTCCTATTGGATTTTAGAAAACTCTAGTAGGTAGATGGCTTCTTACCAAAGAACAATGGGGTAGCACTACTTACGGAGCCCTGTGGGCAGTGAACAACTTACTGCACGATAAGTTTAAGACTTCAATTCGAGACCATAAGAATATCAACAGCAAATATTAATACATGCTGCTAAATTATCTTCCTCTGCACAGTACCTACAGAATAACCTAGAAAGCTAGGATCACTAAAATCTTGTAAAATTATCATAGTTTCATGGTAAGACCACAGGGTTGGGTCTGGCTAGACCTAAATCATATATCTAACTTCACCTCTTATTAGCTGTGTGACCTTAGGTACATTATGTAGCATCCCAGAGCCTTAGTCTGCCCAATATGAAAGGGAGAGGGTGTATGGAACAAAAATAATACTTGCTCCTAGCTTTCTCACAGAAGATAAAATATATGAAGCTGTTGTGTTGATAATAAAAGACTGGAGAAACAAACATTAGTGAGATAACACTAGCTGTTACAACAGAAATCCCTCACATATGTAATGCTATATGTGTGTGTGTGTGTGTGTGTGTGTGTGTGTGTGTATTTTTTCTCCCCAGAATGGATCTTCCTAATTGGCAGGCGCCTCCACTCTATGCCACAATTAAGAGACCCAAGCTCCTTTCATGTGGCCCCTGTATCTCCACAGGTTTGCCATGGGAGAGGAAGAGTGTAGGAGAACATGGGAGGTCTCCATGGGCTGGGAGGTAGCTCAGTTCCATGGCCACACCCAAGTGCAAGGGACGTTGTGCAATGTCATGTAGCAATGTGTCCAGGGACTAAAGGAAATGGCCTTGGTGATTGGCTGGCAATTCCAACTCCCATCTTTTCACTAGGCTGTTGTGAAGAGTAAACAGGTGAAAGCATAGGTGAGGCCTTTGCTCATCATAAAACTCAATAGAACCATTATGATGACTGATTGCTCATGTAGACATCCCAACACAGGAAGATTCCAAACAATAGACGTTTAAAGCTCTCACCCATTTATTTGTATTTTTAGATACCTATGCCAAGAACACCTGGCCAAGGCACGTGGTACGTGGTGAGGGTCCCACCAGCTGGGCAACCTGGTGGCGATTCAGAGTGGGGTGGTGGGCAGCAAGGGGCAGATCATGGAAGACTCCATGAGAGGCTGTTTCATCTTGTGAAAAGCTCACAAATTTTACAGAACAATGGTCATTGATCTATGGTGTGACAGACTCGTCAGATAAAAAAAGTTGAGTAAGAAATTTGGAGTGAAAAGCACAGGAAAGACCGGCCAATGACAGAGTTTCGCAAAAGAGCTATGACCTCCTCTTCCCCCTCGATCCGAGTGCTCTCACCACGGCTGCTGAGGATAAATGCATTTGCCATTCCTCCCGTGCAATCAGGAAGGATTTCTCAGTGAAGAAAAATCTCATATATTTTCCATTATAACATGATTCTTTTTTGTTTGGTTTGGTCATTTTTAAGGAAGTGGGCGTGCATTCAATATCCCAGTTTCCCAGGGAAGACTTGATAAGTGACATATATTTATTTTGTTTCCATCACTAAATACTTTGGGTTTTATTTTTAACATATTATTTTTGTGTTAAGGTAAATCTAGATGCATTTTCTGGATGTAGAATGGTGGCAGATTTTTAATACATTCTTTGGTGGATTCAAATGATATGTGTATGTTATATAAAAAGTTTTCTAAGGCATACCTTTTTTGAACTCCTTTATTTCTTACCATTTTCTACATCTCATACTATGTTTTGTTCTTTACCTGGTAAAAAATCTTTTTCCAATTATTGTACTCTTTGGAGTCAATAGGTCTAAATTCTGGAAATAAAGTTAACCAGGGGTGGGTTATCAGAAAAGCCTTCTCTGACTACTTGATCAGATACAGTACTCCATTTTGTCATTCTCTTTGGGTTGCCTTATTTTTCTTCTTAGCCTAGTATATATTTATGTGTTTATTGCCAGTCTCTACCAACTAGAATATAAGCTCCATAAGGGCAGGGACTTTGGATGTTTTTGTTCCTACTGTTTTTCTGGTGCCTAGAATAGGGCTTGATACCTCATAGAGGCTCAATAATATTGGTTAAATATATGCATACGTGGAAATTAGGTCTTGTACATTCTGAATCAGTGATCTTCTTCTTTGTATTTTCCCCCTTCTTAACTCAGTACTTTATCCCTCCAAAGCAGTGCTGGAGAAAAACGACTTGTGTCTGCCCAGCCACCTCCATTTATGTTAGTCCGAATGAAGTGCATGAAGTCTCCACCACCTGGCTTGGAAGGGAAGCCACTCTCTGGCCTCTGTCCCCAGACTCCGCTGATTTGGGGGCTGCGCTAAACCGTGCACGTGTCTTGGGGGGAAGGAGGCATGGGAAACAGGGTGCGGGGGGAGTGCACAGTGACCAGGAGACTCACTGGCTTCCAAGGCATAGATAATTCTCACAGGAAAAGGACGCTGTGGTCTTGGGTGGGGAGCGGGGAAAGTTGGGAGAAGAATTTAAGGAATGGTCAGTGCTTTACAGTTATTTAAAGTTTTTCCATTTATTATCAAGGGAGGATAAATAAATAGATATATAAATACATATATATATATATAAAATGGAAAAGGATAAAGAATACTTTCCATTTCTTAAATGATTTACTAATCATTTCTCTTGGAGAGAGGACTATCCTGTAGACATGGGTGAAGGTTCACTGCTTTGAGAGGGAGCTGAGGGAAGAGGAGAGAGAGGGACACCCCAGGGAGGTGGCTGGGGCTGGGAGAGTGAAGGCCAGGAAGGCCACAATGTAGTTGTGGCAGCTGGCCTTCCAGATGCTCCCAGTGATCCCTGTCTCCTGGTGTCCACACCCAGTATTCACACCATGTGACCCTCCTCTGCACTGTACCAGGGTGGGTTTGTGTGACCAAATAGAATATCTGGCAGTAGTGATGGTGTGTCACTTTCAAGATTAGGTAATTTCAAGAGTATGGTCTCTGCCTTGGGCTGGCTCACCCACTCTCTCTCTCTGTCTCTCTCTCTCTCTCTCTCTCTGTGAGCAGCTATTGAGAAGCCCATGTGTCAGTGAGCAGCTATTGAGAAGCCCATGTGTCAAGGAACTGAAGACTCCAAACAACAGCCAATAAGGAACTGAGTCATGCCTGTGACTACCTGAGTGAGCTTGAAAACAGACCCATCAGTGCTAGGCAAGTCTTGAAATCACTGTAGCTCTGGCTAATGTCTCTGCAACCTCAGGAGAGACCCAGATCCAGAACCACCCAGCCACGCTGCTCCTGGATTCCTCAGGTAAGAAATGTTTGGTCTTTTAAGTTGTTGTGTTTTGGGGGTGATTTGTTACACAGCAATGGCTAACTAATACAGCAGTAGAGAAGCCAAAGGGCACATGATGCTCAGTGATGTCTACTGATTGATGGGGGGGTCTTAGTAGAAAATAGACTCTGATCCTTAGTCCAATCAGGCTGCTAGAACAAAATACTATAGACTGGGTGGTTATAAGTAACAGCAAATCATTTCTTATGGTTGTGGAGGCTGGGAAGTCCAAGATCAAGGCACGGGCAGATTCTATAACTGGAGAAGCCCTGCTTTATGGTTCACAGATGGCGCTTTCTCGCTGTGTCCTCACATGGTGGGAGGGCCAAGGTATATCTCTCAGGCCTCATTTATAAGGACAGTAATCCTGTTCATGAGGGCTCTGCCTCCATGACCCAATCACCTCCAAAGTTCCTGCCTCCTATTACCAGCGCGTTGGAGGTTGGCATTTCAGCATATGCATTTTGGGGGACACCAACATGCAGACCGTAGCAGATGCACACGTATCTCTACACTCCAGGGCACACTCTGTGCTCTTGGGCAGCAAAGAGGTGGGGAGAGGGAGACCTAGGGCTCCAAGCTCTCCTCTGGGGTGACTTAGATGGTCCCCATTTGAGCTGAGGATACTCTGCTGAAACAGACACAGCTGCCAACAAGTCTGGCTGAAATTAGCAATGTGTCATAGTGCACGGTGGCATTTCAGTTAGGAGCATGCCCCACAGGGACTTGGCTGGGTGCTGTAAGTGAACAGGCCAGAGATAGGGGGGCCACACTTGAGGTTGGATCTGGGGGCTCTGCAACGCCCCTGGTTTGGCTCTCCTGCCTCTCTGGCCCCCTCAAAGTCAGCCTCACCCAAGCCCGGTTTCCAACACGATCACAAGACAGCTGCCAGCCTCCTAAGGAGTCTGTGCCTAAGGATGGCAGCCTCCTTGTCCACGTCAGCCAGCGCGGACACTCTTCCTGTCCACTGAACAGAAGTCAAAAGCTTCGCGTCGGCTAGATGAGCTGCGGTCATTTGCTCAGCTGTGACCCTGTGCTATTGTCTGGTGGGCTGCCCCGCATCCCACTGGGCAAAGGGGCTGGAATCCCCAAGCTGGAAGTGGCCACAACTGATGTCCAGAGAAGTCAAGTGGTTTGCCCGAGGCCAGACGGCGAGCGAGGGTTAGAAGTAGCTATCCACGCACAGTCTGCGTGGCTCCCAGCACCACGCTTGTCTGCTCTTGCCACGTGGCTGACTCCCCATAAACGCACAGAAACTAAAACATATTACCTCCCACGTGCCTGGCTCTGTGCTTTTTCTGCATTAACTCATTCATTTTCCACGCTGTTCCTTTGCCACAGGCATTATTCCCATATTGCTGATGAAGACACTGGGCCTCAGGATGTGCTGTCATTCCAGGGAAGCTGGCAGAGACTTGCAGACTCTGGTTGTGTTGAAGATTAAAGAGAATGATGTGTATAAAAGAAGTATGGGGAGTGGAAATTCTTGCTCCCTTTGAAATGCCATTACAAACACACAGTGATAGGAAAGTAACCAGTAGGTCACAGGAAGAGACAGTTTAGCTAGAAACAACATGTATACACAACTTTTTGGTGAATTTTGGGTAATTCCTCTTTTCCCTCTGCTTTCGACTGAGCACACGGATCTGCCATACAGGCATAGAAAGGCCACGAGTCCTGGTATTTTCTTCAGGTGGTGGAAACAAAATTAGCTCCAGCCTCCTTGACTCCAGTGTTCAAATTGAGAGAAGAAAAATCTCTCTCTTGGATGTTCGTATTAGAGACAAGTCCTAGAAGGTGGAATGGAGTCATCCTCAGGCTGGACTGCGACGAAGCTGTGCTCGTGCTGGCGGGTGGCTGGATGAGAGGCTGGCTGTGGCGTGAAACCCTCTCTGCCAGGCCCCAGGAACCCAGGAAGTGAGTCACAAACTAATCGTAGGGGGAATGAGAACAAGCACTGGGTGTGAATTATCCCCTCGACAACTCACTGGAACACCTCTTCCCTCCCCTCCAAATCTTGTTTGTAAAAAAAAAAAAAAAAAAAAAAAAACCCAACTATCCCCTCTTTTGATGAAAGTATCTTGGCTGAATTGGAGGACAATAAACAGATCTACCCAACGTCACATCCCAAAGAGTCCAACTGTCCCATCTTCAGTGCGTGCTCCAGTATACAAGCAGGAATGTGTCCTCCTGCCTGGAAACCACCCAGGGGGTTTCCCAGGAATTGGATGGTAGTCTCTGCCCCCGGCTCTTGTTTATGTGCTTGATTCTGGAGTCTGGGGCTCAGTCCCAGCTCCCAGACATGCAGTTTTCTCATACAGGAAGGAATGCCTGTTTTTGCTCATGAGAGTTGGGCAAAGACAGAATTTTAGAGCTAGAAGAAATCCAATTTTGCTCCCATACTTTATACAGAACTACGGAGGTAAAGTAATTTGTCTTTAAGTTCACATCTAGTTAGGGGGCAGAGCTAGAATCAATTCTTGGTCTCCTAGCATATGAGTCAGACTTCTTTGCACTGGAAGATTCACTCATTCCTCAAGAGGGATTCCCAAATGGTAATTATCACCTCAGGGAGCTGATAAAGGGGTTCAGAGAATGTATGTGTGATCAGCAAAATGTGGGGCAGTTTTCAAGCAACTAAAAATAGATTGGAAGAGAAGTATATCTACATCTGCAAAACTGAATTTATTGGAGGAAGTGTAATTTATATCCATATACAGGATTCAAGATTAATCTAATATAAACAAGAAATGGAGAATTAACTCTTCATTGTTATTCTTGAGAATGTGCATAACTGCTTCCTCTTTCTAGATAATGGATAAGATTGTTTTGTTTGTTTCTGGCAGCTCCAGTATTTTCAAGAAAGAAACATGAAATTGCTTGAAGTTGACATTCATCAACTGATTATTTTCTGTTTAATCCATTAAGTGATAATAATTTGTGTATTTTTTAAAACAATTATACTTATCTCTCATGTACCTTTTTTCTGGTCTTGGGATAACTAGACTATCCAAACAAGTCCTAACAGGGAGTCCAGGTGTACCTCACAGGGCAGCAAGTTTTTCCAAGATCCAAGACTGTATGTAAATCATCTTTGGGTCATTATTGTCCCTCTCAGTATAAATCACTATTTTTTTTTTGTTTCAAACATTGCGGAAACCCAAATATTCCCAAGGTTTTCAGAGATACTATTTTTAGATCCTATTTGCATCAGTGGGATCATTTTATTCTAGAGACTCTAAGTCTTCGGTCACTTAGTGTGTGGGCCTGAAGTAGCATTTCATCTGAAGGAGCAAGTGAACACTTTGCAGGTGTCCATACAGGAGCAGGGACCTCAGGTGTGGGGGAACCAGAAATCAAATCGGGCCACCTGGTGCACTGTTCTGGACACCCTAGCTTCCTGAGAAGGAGAGTTCAGCTGCTATTTCTTAGCTATCCTCAGCTGTATCCCTGGCATTGTGTTGACTGAATAGCTACGGGGAGATACGGAAGCCAGGCTTGGTCTAAAGAGTCTACAAGAGAAAGGTCTTGGCCAAGCATCATTGGGTCTCTCCTGTCTTTTCTGGGTGGCTGTTTCCTCATGGTTCCTATATGCTAGGACATAGTCACTTGCCAAAAATGTAGTCTCCTACTCATTCCTCATAGGAGTGACACACTGTCCCTTGAAGCTACCTCCCCTCTCTCCAGGTAAATGTTTCTACCTTCTGCTTCAGCAACCACTTACAGGACAGTCTCTAAAGATCGGAGAGTACTAGCCAATGTAGGGGTGACTATTGGTAGCTCTGAGGAAGTCACGATGAAAATCTGAGATAAATAAAAAATGAGGTAGCTCCCCTTCCTGGATCAACCCTAAGGCAGTTCAGTGTTGTGAAATGGTTGAGTGCAGCTTGGGAGCTGGGGGAAGACTAGGTTCCAATGCCAGATTTGCCACTTACTCACTGTGTGACCTTGGACAAGTTTCAGAAACTTCTCTAGACCCAGTTTCCTTATCTGAAAAATGGGGAAAATAATAATGCATACATCATAGACCTGTCATGAGCAATAGCTGATAAAGAAAGCAAAGTGCTTGTTTTAGTAAACATGAGCTATTATTGTAGTTAAGCTTTGTGACATAAAATATGACCCAGTGCAACCTCCTTGTTTTTTCAGATGAATAAGCCAAGCCTCAGAGATGTGATATTTTGTTCAATTGCCATACAGCTGTAGAAAATGATAGCTAAGATTGGCTCTTTGGTCTCCTGAAATTCAGCACTACGTCATACTCTGAGTAAAACACGCAATGTGCCCCCTCATCCTTGAAAAAAATTAAGTAAAAAAAAAATGATGTGTATTTTTGAAACATTTCTGGCCTAATCTTGTTTTTTATTTATTTATTTATTTTTTATTTATTTTTCTAATCTTGTTTTTTATTAATTGTCTACAACTTTGGACGGTATGTTCTATAATGTAAGATTATGTGCAAGCGTGTGCTTAATAATGGGTAACAGAAGGATGTTAAAGTTAGAAATGATTGGATAGAAGTTAACATTATGTACAAGGCATTGTTTTCCCTAAAATGGAAAACAGTTAAAGACAGCAGGTCTCAATAGCTGATGTTTTTATTTTTACCTTAAATATGCTGCTGTTCCAAGAAAAACAGGGAGATTAAACAAGCCAGTATAGAGAAAGTCGAATAATACCCACTTGCTTGGACAACAGGATTAACCTAGAAGATGTGCCTACAGATGGTCTCGTGGGATTAGCATCGTCAGGAAGGCGGATCGTGTGCATCAGTTGGATACCATATTGTTTACTGCTTGGAATAAAATCCCCTCTGCTCTGGCTCTTAAACACAGATTCATACCAATTACTCAGGTCCAAAGTTTACTTCCGATTCCAGCCTTAACAGACAAGTGCTAAGCCTATCAAGTTTTATTGCAGTCAATACATCTCCCTTCCAGAAGCAACTGGTCACAGTCATTTCCAACACAAAGCTGCTTGGGCCACCCTTTCTTCTTTTTATAGTCTGTTTCCAGACACTCGGTGACCCATAAAGTTAACTTATAACCAAGTCACAGCCATGACCAGAGCTGTTGTTCTTGTGTCCACCCCTGAAGTTGCTTTTTCCCAGGATGTGCTCGCTCAGAGGCAATGAATCATACTGTTTGTCCTTTGTGGGGACACTTCTTTTGGTCCAACCCTAGGTCCTGGGTCCTTAACCCAGACTGTTTGTTTTAAACATTCTCCAAACCCTGGGGTTTTCTTGGATTTCGTAGTTTGCTCTAATGAATGCACATACTGCATTTAATGTCCAGTCGAACCCTGTGCTAATGGAGATATGGCTCCTGCTTGGTGAGCTGGGGTCAAGGCATGCTGCGGGCTCGCACCACCTGTGCAAACACGACAATGATTCAGTTGATATTTCTAGTTTGATGCCCTGGTGGTGTCATTTACAACCTAATTTGTCTTCTCACCCTTCTCTCCCTCTCTAAATAGAGCAAGTGTATATACACTGAAGAGGGGGTGATGGAGCGACTCAGCCTGTAGGCAGTGTAGAATTTGAGTTATTTAATTTAAATAAACTCATTAGGGCATGGGGTCCAGAAATGTTCATGTGCATGCCCGTGATTACTAAGCAACCCAACCTCCTCATTTTCTAGATTTGGATAGGTTAGTAAAGTCCTCGATCAAATCAACTAGTCGAAGAACCAGTTTATAAAAAGCAGGGCCAGGGTTAGAACTAATGTCTCCTCATCGCCAGTGTGATGTTTTTCTCATTACACCATACTATGCTCCATCAAAATCTAATTTTGTTCTGTAGCAGAGAGATTGGCTTTAAAATCAGGGAGGGAGTAATGAAAGATATTTTGGTTTTAGCTGGTGATTATCTTTTATGATGTAATTAATAAATGAAGAAAGAAAACAGGTTAAACCTCATCATAGAAACATACATTAGAAAATTTTGATTTATAGAATGTTAGAAATGGAAAGTACTTTAAAATAATCATCTAGCACCATGAGTTTCAAACTGTGTGCAGTGGAAACCTGGGATTCCGCATAGGTGTGGCAAAGGCTTTTTTTTAAGGTAGGGGAGGACAGTAAACAGGATTCAGAGCCTTTTCCTCCAGAGCCATTAAAGCAGGTTGCCTTTGTTTTATATGTTGGGATTTTATTTTAAAAGGGGAATCCACTTCTAGAGGATTTGCAAATTGTAAATCTAGTTCAAACCCCTCAATTTACAGAGAAGAAAATAGAGGCTTTGAATCTTGAATGTGTGGAGTTGTCAAGCAAGAACCTTTATTCCATTGTAGGGATGAGGAAACCAAGATACCACAATTCCGATCTTAAAGGTTTGTTGAAAGTTAAGGACTGTGTCAACTGGCAGCGTCAGGCCTGGAACCAGGTGTACAGTTTTTTATTCCTTGCCCATGACTTTCCCATCGCATTATTTAATAATATTAAACATATTGCTCCATGATCAAAGACATCCAATTGCTCCATGATCAAAGAAGCCCCAGAGAGAATGGAGGGAGGAGTTTGAGGGAGCTGATTGAGAGAGAAAAGTCACTTAGTGTGGGGGAGGTGACTGTAGAAACAAGATGCTCTGTTCTCACTTCTTTTTTTTTAGGAGTCCACTTCATTCTGCAAATTCCTTGTTGCAATGCAAATTCCTTGTTGCAATGGTATCCCCAGTACCTAAGCAGAGGCCTGGCACTTAGTTGGAACTTAATACATGCTGTGGATTCAGACTAAATGCACATACTCATGACATCTTTAAAACCCTGTCCTGGTGAGGAACTCAAGCATATGGTACATTTAAAAATCAAATACTTTTTATCAAATTTGAAGGAATGTAATCATTAAATATGGTAGATTTAT